GGGCCCCCCGGGGGCCCCCCGGGGGCTCCCCGGGGGCCCCCCGGGGGCCCCCCGGGGGCCCCCTGGGGGGACCCTGGGGCCCCCGAGGAGGCCCGAAAGGGTACAGAAATCGAACCCGGAAAGGAAACGGAAAAGGAAGAAACAATTGAAGAAAAAGGGTTTAGTGATAAGCTGCTGCTAAACCCTAAACCCCAGAAATCTTTTTTGTTTCTTAAAACCCATCATGTGCCCTGGCTTATCTTCGTTTCCCACTGCATCACCTTCTGCGGAGCGGGTAAACCCTAAACCCTAAACCCTAAACCCTCGTTTTTTTCTCCCAGCACATATCGCGGGGAATTAAACAAAAGTAAATAAATAAATTAATTGAATAATTTAATAATATATGCTAAGTAGATAAACAATAAGTGAAAATTAAAAATAAGCTACCAGGGTAGTGAGCAGCTCATAAACTTGAGAAAGAAATCAAAACATTAACAAAAATACAAAGGAAATAATTGATTAAGTAAAATTCAAAAAATAAAAAAGAATTGACAATGACAGAGACAGCTCAAGCAAAAAGAATTTAGAACCGCTGGATACAATTTGCTGCTTTACAATTTGCTGCTTTGATTGCTGCTGCCGCGCTCCTTCCTGCTGTTGCTGTTGCTGCTGCTGCTGCTCTCGCTGCTGGCGCTGTTACAACTGCTGCTGCTGCTGTTCTTTTTGCTGCTGCTGTTGCTGCTGCTGCTGCGCTGTTGCTGCTGCCGCGCGTTTGCTGCTGCTCGTGCTGCTGTCGCTGGTGCTGTTTTTGCTGCTAATGTTTTTGCTGTTGCTGCTGCTGCTGCTCAGGAATGACAGTGAAGTACTTTCCTCTTTTTTTTAAAAGTGAATATTCTTTCGACCCAATTTGCTCTTGTCTTCTTTCCACCGCATACACCCTGTCTATCGCGGGGTGTACATACAGTGCGTTCTTTTTCTTTTCCAAACCCTAGAGCTGCACTCAATTGACTAATTAATTAATTAATTTTCATTATTTATTTATTTGTTTACTTTTAATTTATTTATTTGCTCGTTCATTTATTCTTTTTTATTTGTTGCTCTGAGCTTTTTAGGGGGTTTGTTGTTTTTTCTTGTTTTCCCTTTCATGAATTTATTTATTTGTCTTTTTTCTTGAATTCTTCGATTAATTTCTTTTAATTTGATTTGTTTTTATTTTTCTTTTTTTTCATATCATTTTATTTTAGTTTTTCTTTTCAATTAATTTATTTCCCTCTCTTCATTGCCTTCAAGGCGCTACCTCTGAAGTGTACTTACACCTGAAATCTGTTCTTTTGGCGAATTTCATAAATGCCATTTCTTTTATTTTCTTTAATTCCCCTTTAGTCTTTTCCCCTTTTAATTTAATTCTTATTCACTTAGAGACACTCTCGGGCTTTCGGCGCAGGGTTTAGGGTTTAGGGTTTAGGGTTTAGGGTTTGGGGTGTACGTACACCTCAGTGATCCAAGTGGTGGCGACTCACATGGGCCCCATAGAAGCTTCTTTTTTGTTTACTTCGATTGGAGTGGGGTAAGAAATTATAATTAATTAATTAATTAATTAAGTAGTTAGTTAATTAATCAATTAATTATAAATAAATATATAGTAGTAAATGATAAATAAATAATGATCAATAATGAATAAAGAAATAGTATAAAACAGTAAGCAAATAATAAATGAATGTAAATACTTAGTAATCAGTAATGAATAAATAAACAATAATACTAAATGAATAATAGATAATGGTTAATAAATAAATTTAAATAATGATAAATAAAAAATAATGCTAAATAAATCCATTAAATGTACTTATAGCTATTAAAAAATGGCAAAGTTAATAAATATTAAACAACAAATGGCAATAAAAAAAAATAAATAAAAACAAAAATAATTAAAATAAATAAACGGCAAATAAGCTATTTAAAAGCAGAAGAAAAAGAATAAATAAATAATGCACTAAAACAAAAAGTTAAAATTGAAATTAAAATTAAAAAGTTAATAAAAAGGCATTAAACAAACTATAAATGAACAAATTAATCAAGGAAGTCATCAAAAAGAAGAGTCCTATTCAATTTGTCCTCTTGTGCTGCTTGCTGCTGCTGCTGTTGTGCTGCTGCTGCTGCTGTGCTGCTGCTGCTGCTGTTGCTGCTGCTGCTGCTGCTGCTGCTTAGGGGGCTTTTTCTCTTATCTCAAGTGCATTATCTCCCGGCAGTTATTTTCATTTATTTGATGCGGTGAGTTGTCTATACACCTCAGTGCTGCTTTTCTTTTTTTTCCTTTTTTTTATTTCTTTTCCAAAATTCCAAAAAAATCATTTCAACTTTTTTTTGTTTTTTACTCCTTTGTTTTCCTTATTTTTCTTTTTTCTCCCTTTGTGTCTCCTCTCGCGCTTCTCCCTGTGCCCCTCCCTCGCCGTCACCTGCTGCTGCTGCTGCTGCATCCCCCCTGCTGCTGCTGCTGCTGCTGCTGCTGCTGCTGCAGTGGTGCTTTTCAAAACGCGTCAACTCCCATAGACCGCAGCGTGTGTCTGGATTTGATATCTCCGGGGCTGGTGGGCCGCTGGGCGGCGCTGCAGTCGCTGGCGACTTTGATGTGGAGCTTCTCAGCCCTTTTTGGGGGTTTTCTCGCGGACTTCACCGACTACAGGAGGATCTTCACTTTCACCGGTAAACCCCAATTTAGGGTTTAGGGTTTAGGGGTTAGGGGCTGGGGTTTGGGGTTCGACTACCGAAGGGTCTTTACGTTCACCGGTAAACACCTATTTAGGGTTTGGGGTTTGGGGTTTAGCGTTTGGGGTTTAGGGTTTAGGGCTTGGAACTTTGGGTGGAGGGCTTGGGGTTTAGGGTGTGGAACCCTAAACCCCAAACCCTAAACCCTAAACCCTAAAAGGTTTGGGGTTAGGGATTGGGGTTTGGGGTTCAGGTTTTAGGGTTTAGTGTTTAGGGTGTAGAGTTTAGGGTTTTGGGTTTGGGGTTTTCCGCGCAGGCCGCATCTACATAATGGCGCAGCTGGTGTACCTGCCCTGCTTGTGGCTGCTGCCCCGCCACCACCAGCTAGCTGCTCACCGCCGCCAGCTAGCTAGCCAGCTAGCTAGCCAGCAACTCCCCAAAATCGTCAAGCCGGAGCTCTCCCCCACCACTTCAGGCTGAACAAATAGCTAGCTAGCTAGCTAGCTAGCTG